TACAACTTAAAACATTTTCTATTTCTTTTCATATAATCCTTCATTACCTGAATTACTAGCATCACTATGACCAAATAAAGGGGGGAAATACATAAAGTGATGAGAATATTTTACATCTGACTTTCATACCATYCCACTGATAAATCAAGTGATTTTAGCTGGGACGTTTTAAGGTCACACTCGGCGCCTCTTATAAGTACACAAGAGACAAACGGCAAGACTGATAACCCCGTTAGATTGCTGGTTCCAGAAATCTTGAGAAGCACGTCTCCAGCAAAGTAGTTCATGAGTACGTGGGGAAAAAGTGACTTCCCATGTGATTTGGAAGAATGGAATTTTGAGRGGATCCAGCTTTCAGTCAATAAGGAACTTTACGACGAGTCAGAGTACGAATTTTCAAGTCAACATTAGGTGTTATTTATTAATCCAGAATAATAATTAATTATTATTATTTCAATTCGTTTCAAATCCCATTTATATTAGAAAACACTGAAAAATCCTGAATCTCAAGAGAGTTTGCGGCGCTACAAAATGACAATAAATATTCCTTCCCATTGAAGTTCTGGACTGTACTGAGCTGGTATAGTCACTCAGAAAACTCATTTTCAACTGAGATAGAACGACCTACAATGCATTTGGGTCTGGGCAGTGATACGCTATCTTCAGTATTCAACTGTACACAACTGGGTAGATACAGAATTGAAATTACCATTAAACAAAAGGTCAATTATAAAACTCACTATCGTACTCAGTTTTGTACATGTTATCAACTGCTGCATAGTCACACTTCTGCGCACAATGCGTAGACCGWAAAGGATTATGGATCCCTGAAATCTTTCAATGATTGARCGTTGTCAAAATAAGAAGCATTCTAGACAAAATATGATTMAWTGTGACTCTTGYTACCCTTGAGAAGAAGACAAAAGTTTTTGGTCTCACTTTGTTACTGACATTTCCCGTTATATTTTTACGTTAAATTTCCCATCGGCTCCCTTGAGTTTAAGTCGCGAGGACAGAAAACGACAAGCTACTTTAGATAGGGTTGAACATGTCGGCGCTCGAGAAGAAACTGTTACAAAGCTCAAGTAAACTTGATTCTATTAAAGGYTGTCATATAAGGCCGGCGTCGACGCAAACAGCCTTTTCATAATAATATCATGGGTACACCTGCTAAATAAAAAATAAATAAACAATAACATGAATAAACCAAAAATGCAATTTTAATTAGGTTCTTCATATGAAAGGAGTTAACTTTATGGTAAATTATTTAGTGCCAAAGTGGTTTTATGAACACTTGATTAAAAARACTAATAAGCTCCTCTAATTATTCAGTAGAGCATAAGTTTCAATGAGCAAATTAAAATTAGTTTTCATTATCATGTAGTTTACTTTTTTAAAAAAATAGGCGTAAAATAGCTGTTAGAGTTGTGTAACCAATATCTATTAAATG